TAGTGGGAGGAGGCCAGTGGGGAAGTCGGCTCGATAAAACTGTCTCAGAAATAAGTTCCATCTTAAAAAGCTCACGAAGGGAATGAGAGTTATATCAGTTTCTTCAGTGGAAGTACAACCCCAGAAATAAAAAAACACAAGGCTTGCAGAGGGAGAAGTTGGAAGACCGGGAGAGGTTGAGGGTGTCACTGAGGAAAGACTGCCTAGTAACAGAGCTTTCTTGTATTACATCCAGAGCTGTGTACCATCTGAGGCTGATTCAGGAAAATACTCAAATCTCCTGGTAATTTCCTGCAGACAGGACGTTTAATCATCTCCAAGCTTCCACCGCAAACGAAAAAAAAAAAAACTAAACCAAATGATTCACACTCTCAAAACGAATCTGCCTCGGAACAAGAACCGTTTTCTGCTCTTGAAAAGCAGCCATGATTTGTTATTCTAACAAAGTGTTCCTTTCCTCCAAACAGAAATAAAAGTCGTTCAAGGAGGGCTTGTCCTGATTTCTGTTCTGCATTTCTTGAAACTTCCATCCAGTCAACAGTTTCTCCTGGCAGGTTCTCAGAAATCCAGGGAGAGCTGGGGAGTCAGTGACTAAGAACACAGGATCATTTTTATAAGCCTCCTTCCCCCCACTTTTTGGCCCCATGGGAAGATGTTTTATTGTAGGACGAGCAGAATAAGTTGCACATATAAATTCTTCACTGCTCAGGTCATCTGACACCTTTATCTGAATTGCCCAACGGCTGGGGCTGAGGAGATCTGGCAACTGACAACTTGAAGAGAAAAGGCCCGAATCTTCTCCAAGTGCTATTTGTCCTGTCTGTATAGACAGGGCCGTGTCCATCTCTCTAATTACTCTACTAGTTGCACAGATAAAAACATCTGTGCACAGAAAGCAGGGAACCCAAAGTATACAAATGATTCACACCACCTAAACAACTACAAATAAAGGCCAGCCCAGCAAAATGAAGGCTGCTGAAAGCCAAAATAATTTAATATGGGCGGAAATGGAATTTGGCAATCCAAACATCAGACTTTGCTCCAATTTCGGAAGGCATGTCTTCCAGCTGCCTTCTCTTAAAAAAAAAAAAAAAAAAAAAAGTTAACCCAGACCCTCTGCATTATACTCCCAACTTTTTGCTTAGGTATATGCAAGTGAACAGATGGAGATGGGGGGAGGGAAATGCTGAACTTCATTTTTTAAGCCTTACCTACCCACCACATATCTCAAATATTTTACTTTTAAAATTTCATCAGGCACAGCTGCCCAGGAAAACCAGATTAGCGTGACCCCAGTCTTTATGGTCTGGACCCTCTGAGAAGCTGAAAGGTGCATGTGATTACTGGGAGAGTAAGAACTGACCTCCCCACCCTCCACAACTTTCTCCAAACCACAGACTCCCTATGTAGGACCAGGAAGGCCAGGAAAGGGGCTCTCTCTCTCCTTATCTCAATTTAAACAGAATAACTAACCAATCCGGAATTGCCTAATTGCATGAATAGACCACGGAGAAAATAAATGAATTTTTACAGTTCTAAGAAAATAAGCAACTTTTCCATTTTAGAGGATATAAACTCAAAATATAAAGTTGTATGGGGAGAAGTAAATAACAAAGTGGATTTTCCTGGAAACATTAGGTAATATTTTTTGATAGTTTAGGGGAAATAAATAAGTATAAATAAATACATTAATAGTAAATGTATTTTAAATATTTAAGAGTAATGAATTTTGAGAATAAAGACTGCTTAACAAGGAAGTTTAGGAAAATGTTAACGTTTCCCTCAAAGAAGTCTCAATACTGTAACAAAATCACCCTTTCCCTGTGATGACATAATTAGCGCTGCTGGTTAATAGTGGCTGCATGAAAGCTGGGCCACTCTGGGACCACAATTACCCCTTGATCCCCTCGACAGAGCTCAGGAACTTCCAGCGTCTGGGTGGCAGGGTGCATCCTTCCAGAGGTTAGTTTCGAAAGGCTTTTCTAGGGGAGGGTCCTGAAACCAGGAGCAAAGTTGCCCTGCGCACAACTCTTCGACTCTCTGCCTGGCAAGAGGGACAGGGGGTGAGTGAGACTTACCCCGTTCAGCATTGCATTGCTCCGCAGCTGTGAGGACGACTCCGCCTGCCCAGGAAACTAGGGAGGAGGCAAGGAAAGGGTGCCGGGACCCAGGGGTAAGGGCTGACTCTGTGGCTAAGAAGCCCAGCGCGGCATCGGCTGCCAACTGCCAGCAGCCAGAGGGGGCCCTGCAGGGGGTCCCAACAACGCGGGGAAAATTTCCAGGGGGGCCGGGGGGCG